CTTCATACGTTAATCCTTTCGATAGCTTTTCACTATTGTTATTTCTGAGGGAAAAACGCATCAGTTAAGATCATGCGTGCTATTGTTTTTAACTTTGTTATCTTTAGAAAAAGATGAAGCTAACGAATCTGGTTATCGCGGTTGCTTGGGAGAGAACAATGAGAACGGGATATGGATGCATTGTTTGGTAAAACTTACAGACAAAGCGTGCCTGAGTCTGACCAGTAAGTAACAGAGAGCCGAATGACGATCAAGTACGATTGCTTGATAGTTGATACCATACGTCTAAACGCCTCAACTTTTTAAATCATTAATTATTAGTTTATAGTATAATTCAGTGGTAAATACATCATCATCATTTTTATAACTTCATTCGCAATTCACAAGCACTAATAAAGCTGACAAATTTTATAGCAGGGAAAACGCTATATTATAAACTCAAGTCTCGTATAAACAATACGATTTAGAACATATTAACCATTACCAATAACAATAACTAGTTCGATATATAGTCTCTACGTTTTTGTGAAAGTTAATAAGAAATATAACGATTATTATGATGCAAAGAATACATATATATATATATAGACAGTGATTTCAAAAGACGCAATTAGTAATAACTATTTTTCTTTTCTCTCTCTGTTTTTTTTTTTTGTATAAGTCAAAATTCATGTCTTTTAACTTTAATCATTCAGAAAATTTGTTTTAAAATTCTTACCAGATCAGGTGACAAAGATAAAATGATTAGATATCATGAGCTCAAATGCTAAATTCCACAAGGCCTTTGCGGGCCTCAGCTAACCGGGTATGACCCACAAATTGATGTCTGTAAGATTTTGGGCAGCAAGCAACGGTTATGGACGAGCCGACGAAGACTTCGCTTGAGGAACACTTTTTCAATTGTTGCTGTCGTTTTTTTTCTTTAAATACTTTTATTAATTAATAGTAATATCAATATAAAATATTAACTTTAAGAAGTGAATGATGTTCATGTATAGTAGTGAGATGTTTGTGATTAATATTAATATTATAAAAAAAAGATGTTTCTGACTAAGAAAATTGCAGTAAAATGTGAAAATTTATTCTGGCCAAATAAACTAATGAACCCCTAGAAAGTCCAGGCCATCTCCGAGCGATAGTTTATATTTTGACCCGTTCTTGGACTATGCGTCCTTTCAAACTTTTGAGGCGACTTATTTAAACAGTCACAACGACAGCTTCGAATTATTTTTCAAATGCACGACAAAGAAAAAAAGAAGCAGCTTGCGATCCACTGCTTTCCCCTGTCTAACGTCAATGGCCGCCTGGTTTTCAAATCCATAATCAATGTTCTCGCTATCGTCCTTCTCTCTTTGTGAGATACTAGTCATGCTTTGCTCCCTCCCACGCTCAATTCCTTGACCCATTCTCTTCCTCCGCAATGAAGTGCTTCCATTTCTCAAACGGAGGAGGAGATCCCCGTGAAGACGATGACTCTGTTATCTCCAAGGCTTCCAAGCTCTCCTGGGCACGCTCTCTCAGTGTTGCTTCTTCTACCTTGGGCTCTAGAAGGTCTGAATTTGATTCTGATTCCAAGGACTTCTCTGATGCCGTAGAGTTCCATAAATTCTTGTCTCGGAGGCGAGCTAATGATTTGCGCGTGTTTTCCTTCTCCGAGCTTAAATTGGCAACTCGTGGGTTCAGCAGAGCTCTTTTGATCGGAGAGGGAGGGTTTGGTTGTGTCTACAAAGGGGTTGTCAGGGTACCCGGCGCGCATGCAAATGACGGTTCACTTTCCGATATGGATGTTGCGATCAAGCAATTGAACCGTAATGGACACCAGGCATGCTCCGTCTTCTTTCTATTATGCCCCTCCATATGCCTCTCTGGCCATGCCATTTTCTATTATTTATTTCTCAAATTCTACTCAGAGCGTCTGCATCAATTTTTTTTTTTAACCTGTAATTTTGGTTGGGTTTGCTCTGCAAGAATTTCTATTTCGAGTTATTTATGCCAAATTGGTGAGATTTTGGCTGCTTGTAGTTTATTTATGGAGAGAAACTCCTTAGAGAGTAGGAACTGTTTAGAGGTTGAATTGATTTCGCATGAAGAGAGAATCACGTATTGCTGATTTCATTTTTCCTCCGAAAAATTATTACTGATTTATTTATTTCATCAACACAAATCTCAAGATGCACCTTTGGTGGAGAAGCTCAAGTTTTCATAGTTTCATCTCTTCTTGGAATACAGAATATACTTGCATTTCTTGTCTTCAGGGGCACAGGGAATGGATCAATGAAGTAAACTTGTTGGGTGTAATCAAGCATCCAAATCTCGTGAAGTTACTGGGATATTGCGCTGAAGATGATGAAAGGGGGATTCAGCGGCTTCTAGTTTATGAGCTTATGTTGAATAAGAGCTTGGAAGATCATCTTTTGGGTCGAGTGCCATCAACACTCACATGGATAGCAAGATTAAAAATTGCTCAAGATGCAGCCCGTGGATTGGCATATCTGCATGAAGAAATGGATTTTCAGGTAAATTATTTTTTCCCCCTGCTTTGGAGAGTATTCTTAATGTGTCAAATATTTGTGGACAGCATTTCTGAACCTCATACGGTTGGTAGCCACATAATGTATAGCAACTTCAAATTTCATGATCAAATTTCCATAAATAGGAGTACGGTCATTAAATGACTCAGAAAGGCAAGATCCATATGGTTTGTATTAACAAAATCATTAAAACTACATACTGGTCTCATTAACATTGCTATGTGGTTGGTCATTGCTCTTTGAAAGTCTGTAAGGACAAGACCAATGTCCTCCCGTACTTCATGTTTGTATTCTTTTTACTGTTCTGGACGGCTTCTAACCTGGATATAGCGTGCTGCATCAGCTTTCATTGGTAAATCATTGTGATATTAAATTCACATTATGATTTGTGCAGCTTATTTTTCGGGATTTCAAGACATCCAACGTCCTGCTGGATGTGGACTTCAATGCAAAGCTTTCTGATTTTGGACTTGCTAGGCAAGGACCCGCAGAAGGATTTGGCCACGTTTCAACATCTGTAAGAAAGTGTCCATCTTCTGGAGAAAGTTCTAAAGATTGTTCTTCTAAAATTGCCTTTTCAAAATCTTATAAAATTGCATGTAAATGATGGAATAACTTGCCTCCTGGTAGTTCACTTGAACACATTAGAATAGTTCATTTTCACCCTTTTTCATTGATGATTTTTTCCTTTGTGTGAAATCATAATGATGGATTAAAGCTTTTTTTCTTCTGCATGACAATGATGCTCTGCTATATGTGGAATTAATAACGGGCTTTCCTCTTTGCAAAGGTTGTGGGAACTATTGGTTATGCTGCACCGGAGTATGTTCATACTGGTAAGTTAACTGCTAAGAGTGATGTTTGGAGCTTTGGTGTAGTTCTTTATGAACTCATCACCGGGAGACGAGCTGTCGAGAGAAACCTCCCAAGAAACGAACAAAAGCTCTTGGAATGGGTAAGACATTATGTTTCTGACCCTAGAAAGTTCCATCTTCTGGTAGACCCACGACTTGAAGGACAATATTGCATTAAATCAGCTCAAAAACTTGCAACCCTAGCAAACAAGTGTCTTATGAAGCACCCGAAGTCCCGTCCTAAAATGAGTGAGGTGGTTGAGATGCTTGGATGCATAATTAACGATGCAATTTCTCAGTTTGAATGCACTCTTCAAGCTGTTGTGAGTGAAGAAGAAAAAGAAGAGAAGTTAACTGAAGAGGACGCTGAATCTGGGGCGGCTAAACAAGGGAATAATTATCTGAAGAAGGTCTTGGACTTCAGAGAAATGATGAGCTTAAGAAACAAGTCTATTAGAAGGTTGGATTGGAAAAATTGGGCGCCTGGGTTAGTACGAACTTGGTGATAACCAATCATTTATGCTCCTGGCAACGTTAGGTGATCGCATAAATTCCGGTCAATGAGAAATCAACCATGTCAGGCGCAGATGTTTCAATGAACACATTTCTCCAGTTTTATATTTTGTTATTCTAATAGTTGAATGTACAGATCATGAAGCAAGCCCCATTTTTTTGGTAATTGGGCTTTCTTGAGTGAACATGTTTAGGCGTACATGTCTGGTTCAATTTTGCATTGTTTTGTATCTGTAATTTCATGTCAAATGGATTTGGAATTTACAGGGAATGGTTTAAGATCATTTATATTCTCACTGGATCTCATGATTTGTGCAAAATTCAGGAAGGTTGTGCTGTTCTTGATTTATGGTTATTGTGACTTTTTATAAAGTATAAACTTTAATTAAATATAGATATAGATTTTCTATTGATCCTCAAAGGAAAGGCAAGTTTATCTGCTGCTCCCTGTTTTAGGCGTCTTTGGGACGACTGTATAGTAAAAAGTCACACAATCTTACACCTAACAAAACCAGTGAACATCCAGATCTGATCACGATGAAGTCGTGCCTAGTCACAGGTCTGTTCAAGAGTTATCTTAATTTTTCATTGGCAAGTTAAGGGAGAAAAAAAGGCACAGAAAAAGACGAAATCAAAGAGTACAGCTTGAGATGCTAGCACTTAGGTGGTGAAGTTTTGTACTAATGGTACAATCATGGTCCAATCCGGACCGTCGGACGTTCAGTCACGTCCAGCCAATGCCTTTCAATAGTCTCCAATATGTTCTTTGTATTCTAGTGGGGGTGGGGTCCTGCTTCCGGACGAGGTTTGAGGTGACACAGCTGTCCCTGACCACGTGACTGTCACGGCACCTGTGAGATGAACTCCTTTTGCGGCTGTGGCTTGCCAACTTTAATCGGTCACAATATTAACTTTCCTTTCATTCTGTAAACCTCTCGCAGTGATATCAAGATTATTGTTAAACTACCTCAGTGTTCATCCAACCAATAACTCACATTCTTGTTTATCAGATCTCAAAACGAATTGCGATATCCCTCTGCACTGGAAATTATCAAGGTTTCCTTTTTGACGAGAAGGAATGCATCGACGAAGCCAGCAAAAATGTACGGAAAGAAACTTTCTATCTTGATCAATCATACAAAAGCAATCGCCTACCTTCCCAACTATCCGTAACTGTGACTCGTTAACAGACACATACAAAATACATACATACGCCGATCTCAAGCGGAAACGCCCAGGAACATATCAGCTGAAAAGGGATTATGTACAATATCTATCCAGGTTAAGAAACAAGACTGTGCTGTCAAGCATAGAGAGGAGAAGCAGATGGCCTGGGATAAGCCCTCCTGCCTTTAAAGTCATCGGCGCTTCTTCTCCGAATACGAGGCCGAGAGTTGCGGTGGCTTCCATTTTCACGAACGCAGACTTGGAGCTGCTCCAAAGCTTTGACAACCTCATCCATGGTAGGCCTGATCTTGGGCTCGCTGGAGAGGCATCGCAGAGCCAGCATTGCTGTCTTGTGAGCCTCATCGATCGAGTACTCGCCCTCCAGACGACTGTCCATGATGCGAAAGATCTTTCGTTTGTTTGCCAAACAGGGCTTAGCCCATTCCACCAAATTGTGCTGACCAGATGGCCTGTTCTTATCCACGGCTCGCCGCCCCGATAGCATCTCCAGCAGTACAACTCCAAAACTGTACACGTCGCTCTTGGCTGTTAGGTGGCCTAGATTATCAAGGAGTAGCTTTTGGTTATTGTCATCACTGAGCACAAACTAAGTGACACGATCCTAACATTGTTTGTTACCTGTGGCTAGATATTCAGGAGCTGCGTATCCATAGGTTCCCATGACCCTGGTGGAGACGTGACTCTTGTCGCCGGTTGGTCCATCTCTTGCCAGCCCAAAATCAGAAAGTTTTGCATTATATTTCTGCCATCAATTCAAGCAGCGGTTAATTTTCAGATATGCCACAACTCAAAAGATTGACTCCATCTATAACGAATAAACACATAAAAATCGATTCCGTCAAAAGAAGGCCACGTACGGAATCCAGCAAGACATTTGAAGTCTTGAAATCCCGGTATATCACTTTTATGCCGCCGCTGTGGAGAAATGCAAGCCCTCTGGCAGCACCGAGGGCAACTTTCATCCGGAGGCTCCAAGAGAGAGGTTGAAAATATGAACCTCCTGTTACAACAAATTGCAACAACATGTACCGTTGAGGTCAAAGCACAAACTGTCTAGTTCACGCATGTCAAAGTATGGGACTGCAAGACCTTACTTCTGAACAAATGATTCTCCAGGCTGCCACGAGGCATGAATTCGTAGGCCAAAAGACGGTGTTCATCTTCCAGGCAATAACCAATCAATTTCACGAGATGAGGATGACAGAGCTGTCCAAGGTAGTTCACTTCGGCCTGGAACACAACCAAAAACAGAGGAACTTGTTTACCGGTGTGAACAGACTGCTAAGCTTCCCTACCTTCATTTTTATCATTAGTTAGTCCTGTACTTCCTCCTTTTTCTCAAATAAAAAGCAAAAGCAGAGCAGTGGAACTCACCAACCACTCCTTGTGACCTTGGAAACCATCTTGATTAAGTCTTTTGACAGCAATAACCATGCCAGTCCCGGGTTTGGCAGGAATCAAAGAGTGCTCATCGATCCATCCTTTGTACACCGATCCAAAGCCACCTTCTCCTAACACGCTATCAGTACGGAAATTTCTGGTGGCCGTCTTCATTTCTGCTAAAGTGAAGCTTTTTAAATTGGATGACTGCAAGATCTCTCCCTCGCTCCTTGGAGTCTGAGGAACTGACACTGCCGACGCCTTGCTCCCTGTGCTGTTAGCATCCTTTCCGTCAGTGCTCGCGTACTTTGAATTTAACCCTGCAAATAAAAATTATACATCTTGAGTTATTCGCTTGGATCTTGAAGTTCATAGAAGGGTAAAAATCACATTGGTCCATTAGTGGAGAACAGAGACAGAGCCTTAAAGGATTATCACTGGATAAAAATCATTGATTAACGAATGTTCTCCAGAATTCATGGACAGAATTTTTAGCAGAGTCACCCAATTTCATCCCTTGTTGAACGGGAACCGCGGAGCAGGAAAACAAAAGGTTCCAGGAAGGAAGATTAAAAGCGATCGGAGAGAGGAGGAGAATTTTGCAGAAAAAATTCAGTCCCAGGGGGAAGGAAAAAGCTCAGATTGTATGACGTACAATAAGGGTTTAGCCGTTTGGGTGAGTGTAAATTTCAAAAAGTTAAACAGGCAACAGGGAGCCAACACACATGTACATGCGTCAAACTGAAGTGTATATGAGGAATACCTGAGTTGCATGGGCTTTCTGCTTTAATTTGCGCGCTCAAACAACCACCCATGCCAGAAACGAGAGTGAGTTAATCTGTTCCCCGGTCGACTATATATTACAAAAAGCAAAGCACGTGAATAGCAGATGGGAAGAGAAAGAAGAGAAAACAGAGAAGAAAATGGCAAGAATTGAAGAGACGAACCTTTATCAGGATGAAGAAGCCGTTGGGGGAGAGGAAGTATTAGAGAGGGCAAGCTGAGCAGGTTAGACTTGGAGCTCAACAAAATAAAAGGGTGATGCATTCATGCTGGGATGGACCCGTCCTTGTTATGATGGTCCCGCTTCAAGCTGTATTGATGGGAGGTGAATTCTGCTCTCTTCGTCACACGCTGCCACTAAATTCATTTGATTTCTGAAAAAACTACCATGGGTGCACATTCTTTAATTTGTTTTCTCGATGCTAAAAAAAAATATTATTAGTTTATTACCAAATATTAGCTTGTAATGTACGTATAATTTCAATCCCATGCTTGATCCAAAAAAAAAATAATTACAATTCCATGCTTGATGCTCCCTCCTCTCTCTCTCTCTCTCTCACATTCCTGGTTTTACAAAACAGTCAACTCTCGCGTCAAGTCAAAGCACATAAACGTGGCCATGCATTTTTCAACTATCATTATCTTGCATGTCTATGATCCAGTGAATTTGCATCTGGAACTTGTAAAATGAGTCTGCTCAAAAAGCATGCTACAGATCCACGAACTTTAAAAGCGCTAACATCCGTGTTTTATTAGTATATCAATTTTTCCGGACGTTGTAATATTATTCCTGAAATGGAAGACAGAACAAGACAACATGATCTTGAACCTGAACTTAAAGTGAGGCTGAGGGACATAAAATTTGGCCAGTGAGATGTATTCCGAAGACATGTAATTTGTGTGTTTGGTCAGCAGGAAACATGGAGCTCCGCACATAGAAACGGAGACATGCACTCTCTCAAGAAGAAGAGGGGTCCAAATTGCAATAGAAAAAATTAATTTTTTAATCCTTTAACTTTTAATTTACTTATAACTCAATCCCTTAATTATGACTTACTACGACTCAATCCCTTAATTATAACTCACTGTAATTCAGTCTCTCAATTTTTAATTTACATATAACTCGGTCCTTATTTTTAAATTTTTTTTAAAATTTTTTTTATAAAATAAGAGGGATAAAAAAATACTAATATATTATTTTAAAATACTCTCCTCTTGCTCATTGATGTGAGATATAAGTTAACATGAAAAAAAAATTAACAAAAGTTAATGGACTAATTTGTAAGTGATTCAAAAGTTGAGGGATTGAGTCATAGGCGAGTCATAGTTGAGAGATTGGGTCACAATAAATTATAGATGAGGGATTAAGTTACGTGTGACTTAAAAGTTAAAAAATTAAAAGATTAATTTTTTCATTCCAATATATAACAAGTTGAAGTTAAACACAGCTCTGGTGGGACCAATTCATGCCGTTGGAGTCCTCTGGAATTTCAGGATGCATCCTGGAGCCTCTGATTCTTATTTATCACCCAGTCCATAAGGCCTCCATCTCACCAGAATTCAGAGATACTAAAAGAAATAAAGTAATTGAAACTGAGAGTCTGGGGATGAAGTTCTTGACGAAAACGTTGAAAAGCGGCACTTTTACGTGGTTGTGATTGGGCACTTGAGAAGCAGTGTTGTGAGGACGTGGGAGAGCGTGATGTTACAGCGCTGGTGGGAGTGGATTGGATGCACTTATCTCACATACGATGGAAATATAGGCACCGCTTGTTGGCTATTTGTAATGATATTCAGCCAGCAGGGGAAACCAAAAACCCTCAAGTGAAACGCTAAGGCCACGCCTATGCCTCTCAAGTTTCAAGTTTCAACATCTTTTGGAACTTCATCTTTTATACTTTTCACCCTTCACGTGTGCGATCATTATGATCCCGTTTCCACGATCTCAACTTTCCAGATATACGAAGGAAAAACGAATCCGTGAATTATGGAATTAATAATATTCACAGGCTGTGTATCATTGAAACGAGTTTATCTATCCCAATCAACTTCAAGATAACAAGGGCGGATATAAAAGCACAGCAAATTCTTCCGCGGCTCGCTGTACGTGCATACATATATATGTTTTTTTTTTTATGTTATTATATACATATAGTGGCATGGGTTACAATTTATCATGGGATGCTCTTCCCCAAGTCTCAATGCGTGTGCAAAAGGAACGGAAAGTAATCAGAGAGGAGGAGGTTGGATTTGGATGGGAGGGGAGGGGGTGATTGGAATGTGCAATAAATTGAAGAGGACCCATTTATTTAAAGCAAGAGAAGACAGGCACGGACATGGACAACGCACCACAACCTCCTTTCTCGAGTTGATCACGTTGGGAAGCCTCCTTCATTTAATTTTCACAGGCCTGTGCCGCTCCAAAAATAGTTATGATCTCCTACTTTAAATTTCAATGTCATTTCATCTACATGTTTGCTTCTTATCCTTCGCCGCACAATTGTCCTATTCCAGAATTTATAAATATACACACGTCCTCCGGGGTAGCTTTGCCGACTTAAAATAATTACTGCCACCGAGAGATTCCATCAAATTTAATGGCATTGATTAGTTGTCTAAGCCATGATTTAATAAATCAATCAACCTCCATAACACCCACACAGCATTCGTGCCCCTCCCTCGTTCCCAAACCCCAATCACATTCATGCCTTCCTCAATCACAACCCCGACCCCAAATTAAAAAGGAAAAAAAATAAAAACAAGACCTGAAAATTTATTAGGAATTCTCATCCCAGCACTATGGGATACACTCAACAAGACAAAATTCGGCCCAATACCAGTAAACCGCTATGCTCACTGTCACTTGATCATGGGCATGGCATCATAAACAAAGTTGAGGCAAATAATTACTTTTTTAATCTTATTTATAAGTTATTTTCAACATGTTTCACTGAAACAAAAAAAAACTTTAAAATTTTTTAACTTTTATCTTAAAATTTAATAAGTTTTTAACTTTACTACTTTAAATATATATATATTTTAATAATATATTCTCTCTTTCAACATTTAATGAAGGGTAAAACAGAAAATTAGTGTTGAAAATTTTATGAGATGACTACTAAATAGTAAATACTCCAGAGTTTTTGCACAACGAAACACAAGACATTGAACGAAACCCATTTGATGGCATGACGATCAAGACGAAAGCCAATTCGCAATTATATGGATGCTTTGTTCACCAAAGCCAAGTTCCGAGCACAGCACCATAAGCCAACCAAAGCAGTCAACTCCAAAACATATCAGTTCTCAATTATAAAATTCAATTCTTCACAGTGGCCGACTTGATAATGTCAATGAACTCCGGGTATATACACAAAAAGTATTAACATAATCAGTCACAAAGAATATGCAAACCGACACACAAGAACATTATATATATTTATAGGATAAACTACACGTTTGATCTCCTCATCATTACCCTAGTTACACACTTCTAACTTAATTCTGTTTCAATATCACTCCATAATTTTACTTTCCTTGTTCAAACTTTAGTTTGTCTAACGTATACTAGTTCTATCTTAAGTTTTACTTTCTTTCATTAATTTCATTTATGTTACAATTTGACATTTCAACTTAAAAAAACGAAAAATGACCCAAATGCATATTTTATTCCCTTTAACACAGCCATTTTTAACTTTTTTTTGAAAAGAAAATACCAGAGTTGAAGTAACCAAAAAGTAATTATGAACTTTTCTATGAAGTATTTAATTTGACGATGTTAAATAAATAAAACATTTTGGTAGTTTTTTGAAGTTAAAGAGATCAAATTAGATCAAAATGAAATTAAGGAAGAGAGGGAACATGAAGTCAAGTTAATGGACCAGATGGAAAGCAAATGAATTTCCAGGACAATCATGGAACCAAATATAAAATGAAAGATTTAAATGGGATCCCAGTGAAATTAATAGACGAAAAGGAAACCAATAAAGAATCAAAAGTGCATGATTTTGTTAACTACTATGTTATATAATACTTTCTCCGTCCCAAATTATAAAACACTTTTAAACAAAATCTTATATACTAATAAAACTTATGAAATACACTTTATAACCTTACTTTTTCAAGACAAAAAATATAACCTTTTAAAAATACCCTTCATTTAACACTCCATTAATAAAGAATATTGAAGAAAGAGAATATATGACAAGGGTAATATTGAAAAAGTGTCATCAATGAAACCTCATTTTTGTCAAAGTGTTTTAAATTTTGGGACGTTGAATCTTTCTTAAAAGTGTTTTATAATTTGAAACAGAGGAAGTAATAACAATAAAAAAACAAAATCACCTTCAAAGAAGCACCTCCAACCAAAAAACCATCCACATCTGGCCGCGCTGCCAATTCTTTACAGTTTGCTCCGTTAACAGAACCTGCAGTTAATACGTGGTAATTGAATACGGAATTTATTATAAGCAGGGAACAACCCCATGATATGCAGATAAAGTGGAAAAGCAAAACAATTTAAACCTAAACTTTTATGTTTTGCCTTCCTCAAAAAAGTATGATCTGATAATTTTCTTCTTTAGCTTCCTCTAAAGCCTTAAATTAAAACTCAAGAATAAAGCATGCTTGTGCATGTATACCTGACAAAGATAAATGCTAAGTCGCAATTGGGAATACCTCCATAGATAATTCTGACAGATGAAGCGACTTCAGCACTGACATTCCTATGAATCCATTTCCTTAATTCGGCATGGACCTGGTACAAACAAACATCCAATAAACCAACTCAGCAAAGCAATGTTAAACCAAATGGGTTCTGCAGCAGTACAGCTAAGGGCTCATTCTCCTTCACCAGGGTACCTTGTGCTGAGAGTAAGGTTATTTAGACACACTTACCTCCTGAGCCTGAGCAGGAGTTGCAACCTTTCCTGTCCCAATGGCCCATAGTCCCATACTGGCTCACAGGCCAAAACAACGTTATCCCAGTTTGATATTTTAGCTGCAAACACAATTAAGGTCAGCCCTCAACACTTAAATTGACAAAAACTAACGCCATGACCCACTCTCCTAATGCAACCAGAACAGCCAAAACGTTCGCTCACAAAAAATATGCAATTAACATTGAGGATGTTGAATTTGTGCAAGGAATGTGAGGAAGAAAAGGCACCTGCAATCGCTGTTGTTTGCTCAGCAACAACAGCCACTGTTGAACCAGCTTCACGTTGTTCAAGAGTCTCCCCAATGCAAGCAATAACTTTCACACCTTGAGAAAGTGCATATGCAACTTTATCGCCCACAAAGTGTGATAGACAACAGAGAGGTACAGAGTAACATACAAATGTTAAGTCTGGTTGCTAATACAAGTTGCTCTAAGGAGTAGATTAGCACAATACACTAAGAATTGTAACGTGTAGAAAAATATTTCTGAAAGACCATAAACAATAGAACACTCTACCTCATTTGATTCATTTAAAAGCTGTCTCCGTTCCG